GGGGGGGTGGGGGGGGAGTTGGTGCTTATTGTTGTTGGTGATTGGTGATTAATGTGCTGGGAAAGGGGATCAGCCAAAAAGATGAGGAGAGGAGGGGAAGAAACCCTGAGGTAGAGACCATGGGCGGAACCATTTATAGGTAGGGCAATTGCCCCCCTTCTCAAAAAAAAAATGTTTTTAATAAGAGAGAAAAAAAAAATTTTATATAGAAAAAATTTTTTTGCCCCTCCTAAAATTTTACTTTTGCCCCCCATAAAAACTATTTGTCATAAAATGCTATTATTATTCTTCAATTTGTAGTTTTAAGATATTTTTTTTTTCGTTTTTTCATGATAATTTAATTACATTTTTTCATTTTTCTTTCTTATTTTTTTAAAAATAATATATATATATATATACTATAATAGTAGTATACTATATATATATATTATAATATATATATATTATATATATTATATATTATAATATATATATTATTATATATATAATCAATAATATTTTTATATTATATATACTTGCCCCCTCTCAAGAATTGAAGCTGGGTTCCGCCCCTGGTAGAGTAGCCGTAAGCTCAGACACGTCCTAACGGGTTTGACCCGATTTTGCTTCTGCCCACATCTAGGAACTTCACCAAATTTCTCATAAGAACTCTCAAAAACTTACAAAGACACGAGTGTAGGCTTTTTTTTTCTTATAATAAATTATATCCTCTCCAAAATAGGGGGAGGGTCTATAAATAAACAAATACATAATTATATCCAATTCAAAAGTATCCCCTGGGATCACAATAAGCCTTACTATCTCAAGTGAGAGTAAAATGGAAAATATACAATCATAAAATCAAATACAAATAGAATGCTCAAAACAAAGGTCCTAATCGTAGTCGTTCAATCAACCCGCACCTTCTCTGATAGACCTTGTCCATGGTCGTATGCCCTCATCACCCACTTGTCATTGTCTGCCATGGCTATACAATCAGCTGATGTCATTGCCTTCAACTTTATATTGTGTTCGCTAATCAGCATCAATTGCAGCAATCACAACTTTACTGGCCATTATCTACCACCATCGAATGACACTAACTACTACCAATCGATCACGTCTACTTCATCACACTCGACATCACCATTGCCATAATTCACAACTCCATTGTTTCTCTCCACCATTATTAATCATAATTTATAAATTAATCATATTGTATTAAAAAAAGTAACTTACATGTTATATTAATACACTAATATATTTTTATACAATATATAATCAAACAAAAAAAAACTAAAATATGATTCCAAATGAAGACGGGGACTTCAACAGGTCAATTGTCTCATGTTTTAACTGATGAGTTTTGGTCAAAAGTAATATGATTATATTAGTGAATTTCTTTACCCTTCCTAATATTTTTAAATGTGAAGCTGAATAAAATTTAGAGAGAACAGGTGCACTCATTTATAAGACTTTAAAAATCATACTCGTTCATAGACTTCAAGAAGTCACTCGTGTAAACAAACTAAAACTTTTATTTTTTTTATTTTTTACTCAGTTCAATACTTTAATTTGGCAGTAACCATTATATATTTTTAATAAAATTAATATATATTACAATTTATTCTAATATGCTGATATGTCTCTTTAGGTATCTAGCAGGTATTCAGGGCTTTTGGTTGCTCTGAAAAAAGAAATGCCAGGTGTAAAGTAAATGCATGTTAAAAGTAAATGCAATGTATTTCTGAATACTTTGAGACTGTTTGCGTTTGTTGTGCAATATAACACAGGAGATTTGTTCCCTTTGTTTTGCGATTAGTAGAACCAGAGTAAAGTAAAAGCGGCTTTTTTTACATTATATGATGATAGAGGACTTCATTTGGAACGACTTTCTTATTCATTCTTAAAACAACTTTTCAATTTAAAATTTTTAATTTTACATTACACTTGAAAAAAGGCTTTAAGAGACAATAAAAAAATTCATCCCAAACAGAAATTTAAGTCCTATTTGGGACAATTTTTTTTTTTTTTTCTAAAACGGCTATTCTTTACTACATTAAAATTTGTACCAAAAAATTACTTTTAAAAAACAGTAAGAAAATCCGTCAGATAACAAAAGCCTAAGGTTCATTTCGTTACAACTTTTAACTATTTCATTAGTAATTTTTTAGTAAAAAATTTTTAAAAGAAAAATTCAAAATATCCTCTACATAAGTTGATAATTTTACTAAAAATAGTTATTCAAAATTTCAAAATTTTATTAGACAAATGTCCAAAAATTTTTAAGCTCATCCTTGATCTTTTTAAATTTCTGAAAATTATACCTGGCGGCCATAAATTCCTTACAAAACAAATATCTATAAATATTATTTGTATGAATAAGGGGTAATAAATAATAGAGATTTTTGCATTACATAATATTTAAACTTATTAAAAAATATAATTATTTAATACATAAATTATAATATTTATTAATATACCACAATAAAATCTTCTTCCTTACATTCTACGTACCACTCCATTGAAAGCGATTAAAATATTTATTATTCACAGTGAAAGGAGGCCATTAACAAGGAAGGTTAGTCTGTTAAAGTGATTTTGAGGGAAAGATTTAACCGAAATGATAGAATTTGGTTTAAAATAGGGATTGTAGGTCGTATATTAGTACAATATTGAAATTTTAGATGTTAAATATGATTTTAATTGATTTAAGTGTTATGTATGTAAAATTCCTAAATAAATAG